AGAAAAGTGTCCTGAACAAGTTTACTTAAGAGCAAAAATAAGGTTAACTTAATAAAATAATTAGAAATAGTTAAATGGTTTTAGTAAAAATTTGGTACAAGTGATCTGCAGAAAGAGTTACGGTTTTGATGTCATTAAAATATTGATAAATATCTTCTTAATGATATTTCTATTTACTTGATAATATTTTAGTATTATGTTTAGAATATTATCTGAGATGTTTAAAATTATATGACTATCTTTAAATTATTATCTTTATATTATACTATCAAATCATATATATTCAATAATATATTGTTTAATTATCAATAAGATGATTATTTAAATATTTTAGTTAATATATTAAATTTTTTTTATGATTAATATTATATTATTTATATCATCTAAATATTATTTAAAATGACCAAACAAATTTTATTAGTAAGTCACTAATATATCTGCTTATAATTAATCAAATCTTTAATATATAAATATACTAGCATTAAAATATTATCTTATATCTTCTTTATAATAATATTATTTTTTAGATGATATTTTGATATTTATTATCCAAGATGTAACAAATTTTTTTACTTTCTTAAATATATCAACTTATTTTTATATCTTTCTAATCTTATAACAGCCAACAAACTATCAGCTAGCTATTATTTAGATGATTGTTTGTTGATATTTAGATTATATTTTTAATTTTGACTCATGAAACTTATTAATGCATCTGCAACCTTTTAAAGATTGATAAATAAAATACTTCACTTTTATATTAACAAATTTGTAGTAATATATCTAGATAATATTACTATTTATTTTAAAACTTTCAAGAATATTTGGATTATGTTTAACAAATTATAAATGTTTTAAAAAAAACCAACTTGAAGTTAAATTTGATAAAATATTATTTTTTTCTAAATAATATTAAGTTCTTAGAATATATTATTAGAAAAGATAAAATTAAAACAGATGAATAATTAATAAACAAAATTAAAATTTTCTTAAAACCTACTAATTTTAAATAATTAAAAAAATTTTTTAAAATTGTCTTTTATTAATATTAATTCATAAAAAGATTTTTCAGAATTGCTAAACTATTAAACCAGTTACTAAAAAAAGATAAACTTTATCTATAGACAGAACAATACTAACAAGTTTTTAATATTCTCAAAAATTATTTTATTTTAAACCTTATCTTATAATATTTAGACTTTAATCAATGTTTTTATTTGCATACTAATATTTTAATCTTAGAACTAAACTTAGAATGTTTAGCCATTATGTAGACTATTAAATATTTTTATTAATATTTAGAAGCTAAATATTTTTTTCTTATTACTAACCATTCTGTCTTACAATTATTAAGAACTTTTAAGCTTAAGAAAGAAAAATCAGATAAGTTATAAAACTAAAACCTTATAATTTTACTATAATTCATTATTTTAAAAAAAAATATAACAATACTGATACTTTATAAAAAATATATAAACAACCAACTAACATGATTCTAATAGAAGATAAAAAAAAATTAACTTCTGAAACTGAAGCTCTTTAGATTGCTATACAAAAAAACTTAACAAAAATAAAATCTATTTTGTATCAAAATCAACAACTTAAACAATTGATTGCTATATTAAAACCTAACTTACCTTTTATTGCTAGACAAGATACCAAATTTTATATCTAACTTGAAGTATTTTTTAATAATTTCAAATATAACAATAAATTATTATTTAATTAGATTTATATTTAACAACTCTTACAGAAATATAAAAAAAATACTAAAAAGAATAGATATTCAATTAGTTAGAATAGTTCTAACACTCAATACTAGTATTAACATATTTATCTATACTATTAATCTATCTGTTACTAATTTAAAAAAATTATTCTATATAGATTATTCTGAAAAAAATCTTTTTAAATATAATAGTTAGATGTTTTTAAAACAAATTTCAGTTTTTAGAATTAAAAATAAAGAAGTTAAAATCTTTTATCTAATTATTATAAAATAAATTAATGAAACTTTTATACGTATATATACAAACTACAATAAACTTATTCAATTATCAAAACATAATAGAAACTTTTAAACCAACTTTAGCTAAATATTATACCACCTATTTACAGCCTTATCTAGATGTTAAATTTAGTTAAGAAGGAATTTAGTATGATGAAATATATTATATCTGATATTATATTAAATATATTAGTATCTAATTATTTCAAAAATTTAATAAAAATGTCTGACTTAGAGATTGAAAAGAACTAGCAGCTTAATGTTGATATGAAGATAAACTTTATTTACTCTTTGATAAATGTTTTAAATATTATAATGACTTTTAGTTATAGAATTTTGTACTCATTAGAACAATTTTGGCAAGCTAAATCTAATAGTAGTTGTTTCATTCAATTTAGTCTAATATATTAAAAATTATAATTAAAAATATCAACCTTTTAATGCTAACAGTAGATAACTATTAGATAATTTTATAATATACTTGATCTTAGACAATATCATATAGTTTTTTATATTATATTTCTTTTTTATTATATAATTTGATTTTTATTTATAATTAAAAAATATTAATCATATCAAAATTATATAAATATAATAAAAACACATTTTTTAAAAAATTAAAAAATAGGTTTTTTTAATATAAGACATTCTATATATATACAAGCAAAAACTTTATTTCTACTAATACTTAACAAATCAGAATATTTCATTGTCTATATTTTATAAAATCATTTTCAAGACAAAACCTTTTATATTATATCTATGTTTATAAATATAAAAAAATTAATATTTTTATAAATATAAGCACAAATATTAAGTACTATCTGCATACAAATTTAAATTTAAAATAATTTTTCATATATTTTTATATATTTATTTTAAAATTTAAATTTTATTAAATTATGTTTTTTATTCTTTAAACTAAAATAAAAATATATCATATTCTAATTATTTTATAATTCTTATTTTATAGATTTTTTTGTTAATATTTTAAAAATGAATTATTTAATATTAATTATAATAAGATTTTTTATTAAAATTTAATATTAAAAAAGTATTTGTATAGAACATTTATAAAGATTTTTAAAATTGTTATATGTATAGGATCTTTTTTTATAATTGTTATATGTATAGGATCTTTTTTTATAATATTTAAAAATAATCAAATTCTTTATTATTAATTTCATATAATTAATTTTTAAATGATGTTAAAGAAATAGAATAATTCAAAATTATAAATGAAATAATTTATATTTAATAAAAATCTGTTTAGATTATACAGATTTTTTTTATACTATAGCCGCAAATGTATTATAACTTAAATCTTAAATAATTGTATAACTAATTAGAATAAAAATTTAATAAAAAAATTTTTTAAGTTCAAAATCTTTTTTAGCGTACAAATTTGTATGCTAAATATCAATACAAAGTTATACCAGATATTATTACTATATTATAGACATAGACATTAAATGCTAGATACTAAACAGTGTTTAAATTTAAACTTAAATAATGATTTTATGAAAAAAGTATAATAGTTATAATGTTTTCAATATTGCACCAATTAAACTTATAATTATAGACAATTATAAAAATTCTGTTATATAAACTAGCGAGAAAAATAAAAGTTTTCATAAAGCTGCTTATAGCTCAATCTGTTAAATAATTTTACTAAATTAATATAAACTTACTTAATAAACAAAGTAGTTTGTTCAAAATAATTACATTAATTAAAATCCAATGTTAATCGGTTTTAATGCCCTACATATAAAATTACCTCCCAAAAACATTCACTGTTCTTTTTCAACAATACAAGTATTTAAATATTAAATTTGCAAATATGAAAAATTTAGTTTTATATATAATATATTATTTAATAAATTATAATTTTATGAATTTTTATCAATTTGTCATTCACCAAACGCAATTAAATCTTTTTGATCATTATTATCATCGGAAATATTGATTGTTCTATTCATCATTCTCTTGAATTTGTTATTCCAAACAGCGTTTATTGAAACGTTCAATCCACGTATTTTTTTAGACATCATGTCTGACTCATCATAAATTTCTTCTTGAATAAGTTCTTCAAGAACATCTTCCAACGTAATGATGCCGAGAAGATTTGATTCTTTAACAACTAATGCCATATGACATTTACCTTCTTGGAAAGAATTTAAAATGTCGAGCAAAGGTGTTGAGGCATCAACCGTAATAATAGGACTTATATTGGATTTTTCCAGAGGAAGAGCTTCATCAGGGTTATACAAGATCAAAGACTATGAAATATATATAATATTAGAAATAATCAACAATTTGTAATAAACTTACAATGATTATACCTTAACTAATAAAACACCCTGAATATTATCACGGGAACCTTCATAAATAGGGATGCGAGAATATCCACTTAAATAAATCTCATGCATAATATTTCTATCCATAATGGTGTTCATGGCAATCATGAAGACCTGGTAATAAGAAATAATGATTAGAAAATAATTGACGAAATCTTTGGTTATGACAAAAAATTTTAATAATTCACTTTGTCCAATGGAGTTATCACAATTTCGGCTACTTTATCCTGGAGGTCAAGCGCGCCTCGGATAATATTAACACTATCAGTATTAAGATCACCACCATGTTCAGTAGATGTTCCGTGATATTTAATCAATTCTTTGAGTTCTTTGATAAAATAGTTATAATTAAAAGACCGTGTCTTTAGGAATAATGACATAAATCTAAAAAATTACCAGCACGACGATAAATTATTCCATGACTTTCACCAAGAACAAAATCTAACAACCTGGCAATCGGATACGAAATAATGAACTTTGATGAAAAGTAATATAGTGAAATAAAGTGGTCAGTGACAAAATAATTATTATTAAAAATGGTATACGAAAAAAATCTTACAGTTAACCAAATTAATATCCTCGTAGGCCTAAAAAAAATGAATACTATAATAATAAGATCAATCAAGAATCATATAATAATAGTTATAAAGAAATTAAATATTTTTTTTTTTTATTTACCATGCAAAGAAAGCACCTATTGCAAGACCATATCTAGCACATATTGCTTGAGGAAGGATTTCACCAAAGAGAACAATAAGTGCACTAGAGGCCAAAATCGCAGATATACTACCACTTCCCATAACATCATCCATGATAATCGGTAAGGTTTCATTAACTAAAACATTACATAAAAGAAGGGTTACAAGCAGCAGATGTCCATTTCTACGTATAGGCTGAATGCGTGCAGCGTAATTGCTAAAAAAATAGTAAAAGCACCATAAATAAAAGAAAATCTCGTATGTCTTTAATCACGTAGGTACGCATGCGCGCACGCACTCACGAACTCACGCACCGTTTTTTAGGATCTTCAGACTGTGTGAGAATATGGAGATTTGTTTCATCTAGGCTCATCTGGTGCGTACGTACACTGTTGGTTTAATAGATCAAAAATATGTATTAAGATAATAAAAATTTAAATACAAATTACCAATCCAATAGTCAAGCCTAAAAAATTCAGGATAAATTTAACTGTCAAAAATGTCAACTACATAACAAATCATATAATATGTTCAGCATGAATGAATAATAAATCAGTTACCAGCAAATAATCCACCTAATAACACTAAAATGACAGTAAAAAAGACTTTAATCCAATATTCAAGACTCATTTTTACAGTTTGACTATTACTATTAATGCTTTCGTTGATAATCGAATAAGGGAATGCAATAACTCGTGATATTGAAATAATCAAGAAAGTCAGAAGGAACATTCGCAACATTATCGTAAAGAATAAAGAATTTATTATGAGGAAATTTTGAAATAGATATTGTAACGAACTAAAAAAGGATTAAAAAGATTTAAAAACCACTAAATACATAAAAGGAAAGTGAATAATGATAAAAAGATGATTTAAAATTTGGCCATGCGTATAATTTATGTAATATCTAGCCTATTGACGCCAAGGAAAAACCTATAAATTCAAATCTCAACTTTTTTTTTGCTATATTGAACTTCTGAAAGTCGTATGATATTACGCAATTTTAATCAGTGTCCTAGTCATTTTGGGAAAATACAATGCAAGCATGTACTGTACATCCCAAAAATTGACTCCTTATGAGAAAGGATCTCACATATTATCGAAACGATTACAATTTTTGAATTTAAGCCTGGTACAGTAAATATTCAAATTCGTAACTTACAGGCTTTCCCTTAGTAGCACTTATTTAAACTTTGAAACTATTACTATTTTTGGCAATAAAAAAAACCAATGTAAAAATTTTGAAGTAAAATATAATAAAATATAAAATGAGTGACGCAAAGAGATCAAGTTTATTATTTATTATTTACTAAATTCAGTACTGATCAGAGACATATAGTAAATTTAATTACGTATAATATACAGTATGTTGCTGGTCAGGGTTTAGTCTGGTAAATAATAAATAAAAACTTGAAAGCCCGAAGTCGGGTTTTCCCTTGACGTCATCCAGACATTATATTAGGTACATTCATGCCGACATTACAATTATTTAACATTAAACACGATTAAAAAATTTTTCAAAAAAATTTTTTAAAAGAAAATACATTCGAGTAGCTTCAGAACATATCGATCAAGAATTTAATTTGCTAAATTCGTATATTACCATTATTTGAGATCATACCGTTATCTAGGTGTTACTCATATTCTGTAACTTGCATATAATAATTTACTATGATAAGGTTCAGGTTTTTCACTTTAACGTACTCATGTGTAAATAGAAATTTTATATTTGTTGTAATTAGGAACCGAATTTAAGTGGGTTTGGATTTTTAGGGTTAGGGTGTAGGTTTATATAAAATAAATTCTACCTTAATATTGTAATTTTATTAAGAAATTCTAAATTCCGTTCCCACTTACAACATATACGCCTACCATATGTTAGCATATAAAAAATCCTGTTACAAAAATTGTAATGACGCACAGTATGTAATTTAGATAATTTGTAGTGTTGGTTTGTAATCAAATTCTCGTGATTTCTGCCGCATGTAAAAAACTTTTGTTACGTACAAACTTAGAGACTATTGTGGTGACATACGGTATTCGAATTCTTGTGATTTCTATCGTGATTTACTGTATATAAACATTTGGGGAATTTACAGATAAGAGCCTAAAAATGAAAATAATTACAAATAAGGGCCTAAAATGAAAATAATTACAGATAGAGGCCCAATATCTGAAAATTATTACAAATAAGGTTTCAAAATAATTATATCGATATGCTTAAAAACCCATGATTTAGCCCCGTTTTGATAAGTTAAATATGATCGTAATATAATTGTCGCATCTGAAGTAGCGATTTATCTAAAGTAGCCACTTTATATGTCTAAAGTAGCGCCCTGGCTAAAATTAAAATCTAATGCATGCATGAAGATCTAATTTCAGGGGCTTAATTTTAGCCAGGCGCTACTTCGCTACTTCAGATGCGACATAATCATTGACTGTTAATGCATAAGAAATGTAATAATAATTAATTCGTAATTCGAATATAAATTCCAATGCACAATAAAAAAGGTACATTCGATTCGTCAACCCATTATTCACACCGTAAATTTGTTTCATAATATATATTTCTTAAAACCTGATCATAAATGTTAGACAGATCGGTATGACTTTTACAAACTTGGAAATTGTTCATTCGGCCGTGGACAATTATTCTGTTGAATTCTAAGTTAAGATTGAACAAACCAAGTAAGCTGTTGACTGTTTGTTTTACAAATGAAACCAGTTCATACCCTTTTACTATTTCAGCTAACAAGCATAAAGGTGATCCAACTTGTCAACTTTTATGAATACATTCAAAGCACGAGATATAGCAATACTTTGACCTTGTGATATTAAAAATTGTGTTCGTTCAAAAGTAGGACCGAGACATCATACATGGTAGCTTGGAGAAGTAACATATTAGGCCACACAAGGCTAATTTTCATTTTGCATCACATGGATTTCAAAAATCCGGTCATTCAGATGGATATTTTTTCTTTTTTTTTACAGTTAAACTCTATAATCACACCCTTTGCTTCAAGAATTTTGTGCTTATATAAAGGTTAAAGTTTATATGCATTATATGAGTTGGTTTTAATTATAAGTAAATGAGATTATAGGGAAAGTGACTATAGAGGCCTATTTAATAACGAAATAAGACAATTAACCATGATACCGTTATGATTAAATCAGCTAGCAATTTTGATGATATACAGTATTTGGGCTTATTTGTAATAAATTTCAAATATCGGGCCTCTATCTGTAATTATTTTCATTTCCAGCCCTTATTTATAATTATTTTTGTTTTCGGGCCCTTATTTGTAAATTCCCCTAAAAATTTTGATGCAAAACTTACGAGCTATAGGGACACACAATATGTGGTTGTTAATTATATTTAGTATGTTAATGCTTTTTAAGGCGTTAAAATTTATAAGCTCATTTTACACTTACAACTCCCTAACTGATTTAAGGCCTCCATTTCCCATATGCCATTTGGTTTCTTAGTTAATAATTTCTCCAAGTCAGCAATTGATTCTTTATACCTTTTTATTATATCCTCGATATCTTATTGCCATTGTATTATCTAGTTCAATTTCTAATAGTCTAGGCGTTCCTCATAATAAAATATATTTTTCTCTATAGCCTAATTCATACTTATTTTTTTGGGTTGTTTCTAGTGATTTTGTCAATTTATTTGTTGGATTAACAAGCATTTTCTCATACCCTATAATGAAATAACCCTTTTTTTGATACTCTAATGCTAATGCATTATCCAGTTTATTGTTAATAACTTCATTATTATTCATTGCTATTAATTAAAAAAATAGATATATTGCCGAGATAAGTGTTTGATAAGTGAAAATAAATTTACCAAAATATTTAAAATTTTCATAACCAAAGTTTACTTCTATCGACCACCTTGTGATCTAAATCCAACACAAGGAAATAGATTGCCTTTAATTTTGTCAGGCAGATAGCATGCAATTCCTTTAAATGTATTTATTTAATACAACAGCCACAGAAATAACGAATAAATCGTATATGTGATAAATTATTAAATTCTTGGTGATTAAATACCTATTTACTAACACCAATCATAATCTCTTAGTCACAAACTAACTCTAACCACGATGAAGCATAATCATGTAGCAAACATTTCAAGTCGACATGACACAATGAAACTAATAATTCACCAATTCCAAAAGCAAAAATGCAGACTCAACATGGTGTATGGCAATGATACAATGACTCAAAGTACTAAATCATACCAGCATAATAAAATTCCATCAATGATGACATTAAACCGATAAAATGGAACTCAAATACGGACCAAGTTATTAGTACCAAAGCAATAAAGTCAAAAATCTCTACTAATAATGTGCTGAAACGATGAAAATCTGAATCATCAACAATACCAAACCGTCGAAAGTCTATAATCCCCACCAACGTCACTGAAATAACGAAAGTTTGAACTTCATCAACAACAAAAGTCTGTAATTTTCACCAACACCAAAATGGCGAAAAAATCTTCACCAACGATACCGAAACGATAAAGCCTACAATCTACACCAACGGCAACTCCAACTCCAATAACGATGACGTCAATGACGGTACCCCTATAATGATGGCTCAAACAACGAAGCGGCAAATGATAACTATAATATAAATATTCCGAACTTATCTATATCGATCCGTGAACCAAATAAAAAATTTAATAGAATACTTTAGTTTTAGCTAAAAAGATTAGTTCACTTATTCTAATCACCACATAAAGGCGTATCCTAAATGACTATGTCTAAAATACCCCGATCACTATATCAAGATCACTGGGTATTTAGCAAAAATACCCTGACCGTATGTGCACAAGCGGAAACTTCGTTTCCGCTAATACCCAACGGATCAGGATATTTTTATTACTAATAACCCGAAGTTGTATCCTAAGTAGGATGTACGCAATAAATAACATGAATAACATTGTCCAATAACATGGAATATTATCCAAAGCCCCGATTAACGGGCGCAAATTATCTAGGAAAGGTTCTCAAAGGTCTAGAGTTCAGCATATTGTACTTTTAGGCAAAAGAGCTACTAGTAAAAGACGCCGCCATTAGCAATCTTCACCGCTCAGCCGTCTTGCATTCTAAACAACCGGAGTAATATTACTTTAAAGGTATTTAAGCGGTTGTTTAGATATGAGGTCCAAGAAGTTTTTATGAAAGAAGAAAAAAGATCAAAAAAAAACGAATATAAACTATTGCTCCTCAAAGCTGTTTTCAGGATGATTCATCTTCTATAATGAATTTTTAAATGAACCGAGTGACCCATGCCCATGTTGGGTCTATCTCCGAAAACCAGCTTAAGGAACGTCGCATTTGGTTAATTTAGGGTAAAAAAAGGTTTTTAGTTGTAGTAGAAAGATTTAAATATATAAAAAGAAGGAAAATACAAAAATAATCTTAAATAACACGTTTATTGATTTGATGAATGTAAAATCACGTATTGTTTTGTTACCAAATATAGTAATGATCCAACCAAAATTGGGGTCATATTGCTGTATTGCATAAATCGTTTTCTCCAAAATCTAGAAATTTGAAATTCATTGTTTATGTTTGATATGTAAAAAAAAATTAAAAATAATGCTTTATCAATGAAAAAAAATTCTTTGTATCTCGCTGATTTGTTTATCGAAATGATAACTTACTTGGCTAATTTATTCAATTTCTGATTAATTAAAAATTTGCTTCCGATCCATTGAGTGAGGTGCTTGAGAACACCCTTAGACGAAGAATTTTAATATCAAATGAATAGTAAAGTTTAAAAAAAGTTCTTCGTCTAAGAAATTATTAACTCGTTTTACATCAAGTCACTCGAAATAACGCCCCAGGACGTTATTTCAGGGCAATACAGTACAATATTAAAATTTGGCAAAATTTATTTTTTATTTTATTTTTTTTTTGAGCTGGCATTTTTTTTTTTAGTACCCATAGATGGTTCTATTCATTAGTGTGATTCGAAATTAACTGATTTCTAAAATAAGTAGGCGTTATTTCTGGTTTAAACTTCCGAATCAGAAAATGGAATAAAAGTTTTTTTATTACTAATATACTGTATTATTATACAAACAAAATAGAATTTATTGATTTATTTCGAAACAAATATGTTCATTTCGATGGATTTCTAAAGAACGCTAAAATTTTGGGGTATTACCCAATTGGTTGAGGCGGAATAATCGTTAGATCATCGATAATAAATTATACTACTGTATAATAACTATGTTATGCATTACGTTGGGTTAAATTTAGCTGAGTAATAAGCCGACAATATAGCAATTCTCTAAGTTTGTGGCGCAGTAAAAATTCTTTAAAGTTCGTTTATGTTAGGTTATGGTCAAGGTTGGGAATTGAAAAATTGCGACAATATAAAAAAAGTAATCAATTGAGAGGTGTGGTAATCAGTTAGATGTGAATTTTTATATTCTATTTTTAAGTTTTAGGGTACGGACTGATCAGTTGACTGTCTTTGTAATAGTCATTTAAGGGTCGTTGCTGCTGAGTTTACTATTATTTTATTAGATCCGGGGACTCGTAAAAAGGCAATTTGGCAAATCCATTATAGCATTATACGTATATCACAAGAATAAAAATTTTAGAGGTAGAAGGTAGTGAAATCAGATTAAAATGATTAAAATGAAATTTGGCATAGTATAAAACCTTATATTGGGATTAGGCTAGGTTTATATAAGAAAAATTGCCTTCCCGACATTTTTTAATAATTTATCCAAGATATATAGATTAGATAGCTCTTTTTTATATTTTTCAAATTTATAATTTAATTGGTCTTATATCATGTGATTCTGCACCATTTAGACAACCCTTTTATTAGATAACAAGTTTTATGCCTGCCTATGCGTTGAGAGTTTTTTTTTAATCATCCTAGCGTTGCTATCTTAAACCATCTTTAATATCTAATCAAATTTTTTCTAAGAATTGTTTAACTAAATTATTAGCATAATTCGCCACGCCATTCCAAGTTTTCGGTTTTGAATATGAAGTCTTTTTATAGATCACAGCTAATTATATATGCAGATGAGTATTTACCAGTGCTTTAAGATTTGATCGAACTAAAAGTCTTTAATACCTTTAAACGATGAAAATAGAAATGTCGTGTCTTTTCACACGTGTAAATATCATTAAAATTTTTCATACCAAATCTTTTGAATGTAAAATACTGCGATACAAAGAACTAAAAGGCAGCAATAAATATAATTGGGTTTTAAGTAAATCCTTTTATTATGCCTACCATACTTTCTTAACAACCCTAGCATCGCCCATAAAAAAGTGTCTAAATGACACTCGGAAAATGTGTACGTACCAAGATTAGGTATAACGTAACACGATCACGATCGTTCTGGGGTCGTTTAAAGCCATGTACCCACGTGACTTTATTATGTAAATCAACCAACCGGAATTACAAAATTTTGTTCACACGCAAAAAGACGAAAGACAGCAATCTAAACCTGTCTTGGGGCACTAATTAAAAATGTCGGGAAGGCAATTTTATCTGTAACCTTCTCCTATACTACTACCAACCTAACCCAAATCCTAACCTTAATTTTAATAAAACGTCAAAATCACGTGGATACTGTACATGGCTTTAGCCATCCCCCAAAAATCGCTAATAACTCGAAAATCACCATAAGAAACCATCTTTTGTGCTCTACCAAAAGTTTTCTTTTTGGATAATCTTACCATCTCAACTACTCTCCTCTAACTCCTAACCTTAAGGATTTCGTCTGCGCCACAAAACTGGTGCAAGATCGATATAATCGAACATATCGTAAATCTTTTTTGCACAATCTTTCATAAGCCGTAACTTTATATAAATTTATATCGACATGTAATTTTTACTTAAGGAGGATCGGAGTATTATGACGAAGTGGATGTTGTGATGAATCGTGATATCTTGTGATCCAACGAATAATTTTGGTAACAATCAATTCCTCTCGTTGAGAAGAATCGAATAGTATCAAAAAACTATTCAATCACTGAATCATAAGATATCACGATCTGCTGTTATCATAATATCTTGATCTTTTTTATTATTTAAATAAATCTATCTTAAGAACCAGATTTGAATTTAATAATTTTAGTGTCGTTAGATTCGTCTTAATGAGATGGATCGAATGGTATCAAAATTATTTAATCCTGATTACTAGATCATGAAATAATGTTGATTCTTCATAATACCTACCTTATGCTGTAAGATATAGTTTTTCAATAATTTTCAAATGAAGACTCGTCATATCGGCTGATTTTGATAAGGAAATCAAATCTCCCCAATGAATCACCTCATTAGACATACAAATCATATATAATTGCGGTTCTAATCAACTCACAGACAATCACTTCATAGACACCACATTTCACCGACAGTTTATTTCACCGAAGCTCGTTTCACAGACAAAGTAATTTTAGCCATTGTCGTTAGGGTCAGGTTAGAATTAGAATTAAAGTTAGTGCAACTTATAAAAAAAAATTTGCCTGTGAAATGAGCTTCGGTGAAATAACCTGTCCGTGAAATGAATTTGTCGGAATAATACGGATCCTATAATTGACGTACCCTAACCCGGGGAGATTATCCAAATCAGCCGATATGTCTTATGACAAATTGAATGTTCCAATAGCAAAATTATTTAATTCCTTATATGACTACTTTGCAAAAACCTCACATTTTTGCGAAAGCATTAAAATATTCTAGATCTAGTGGAATTATAGGTCGCCAAGAGGGAATTTTCATCGTAAATCGCAAAATTAGTTTCTTACTAGCACTATTAACGAGGCATTAACGAGGTTTTTTTGAAAAAGAACTATATTTCATCCAAAACCTCGTTAACACCTCGTTAATGGTGCTAGAAAGAAACCAAATTTGCTATTTACTATGAAAATTCCCTCTTGGCGACCTATAATATTAATAATTCTCACTAGATCTAGAATATTTTAATGCTTTCGCAAAATGCAAGACTTTTGCAAAGTATATATTATGGTTGTTCTCAAGCAGCTCTCAAAGTAATCGAGATATGTTCAACCAGTTCGATTAATCAAAATTAACTGAAGTGGTTCCTGTAAAGATGGGCAAGTTTAGTAACATATTATTACATATTATTTTCCAATTATTGCTTTTAGTTTTCTTGCATAATAAGTAATAATAAATAAAGAACCGTGATACAAGCAAAATCGCAACCTGATCAGCAGATCATTGAGTTTAAAATTTGCTTTCCAGATCACATTCACAAAACGTGATAAGTAATAATCATTCGTCACAGGTAGAGCTTGGATCCGGTTATCCGTTGGATACAAATTTAATAGTAAAATCCATCGGATATCCGTTAAATTTAATATGACAGGTTCCAAGCTCTAGTCATAGGTGATAATTAGTAATAATATGTATGTGTAAGTACTGGAATAAAAAATAAGTAATTATTACTTACATTATTACCTTGCCCATCTTTAGATTCCTGTAACAATATTGGCGAAAATTAAATTTCAGTGTAACTCTACGAAAACAAAAGATGGTCGTTAGCTCTAGTGTTCTTTTGACCGAAATGATTAAACACGGTCTATTTTTTCAGTCAATAAGATCATTTTATCAAAATTGAGGGAGGTGCTTGAGAACAACCTATATCAAGTACAAATCGTTATATATATTATGTATTTATCTTCATTAAATCTTTAAGCGAAGACTGATGTGTAAAATACCGTTCCGTGTTATTACTATTTTCAGATAATAAGAGCGTGATTTCGATTAATATTATTGTTACGAATCAACTTAATATGATTAGAAATCTTTTTAAGAGTGTTCACTATAAAAAAAGTTTCGTTAAAAGGAATTTGGAAGTAAAACGTTTTGTATTTTATTATCATTACGTAATAGTAATTCATCTGACATTACGCTTTTATTAAAATTTAAAGTGCTACGCAATTAATTAATAATATTTAACAAGGAAAAAGAAAACACTACAAAATTTGAAGAACTTGGACACGTTTATAAAAAAAAAAAAAATCAGTAACATGAAGAAGAGATCAATACTCATAAATTAAAGTTACGAAGTTACGATACGATGGGATCATACAGGTTTTGCCGTAACTACCGTATGTCCTAAAATTCATTGGGACGATTCCACCGCGTCACTAAACACGACTATTGACCAATCAAAAGTAATCATCAACTTTTGTTTTTATAACGATAAGCGATCGCTATTTCTATTATCGTTATGGATATAGATCATAGCCAGAATTAGGGTTGGGTCAGGGTCAAATTTTATGTTAGTCATTTCATGGTGGAAATAGCAATTACCATGGTAGTAATTCACTTTTTTTATAATTGTATTTGAATTTCTTTCTAAGAAACAAACAACAAATTGTATCTTGATTTTTATGTCAAAAATAGAGAATACATTATCAATTCAGTATCTTTAATTGGAAAACTCTTGACCAATCATGGTCTCATAGATACTTAATAGAAATACAAAAATAACTATCGTTTATAAAAAAAAGTACATTTTTTATTTCGCAAAGATCAACTCTTATTCTTGTCACTGCATTAAAAAATTTCATGAGATTAGAGTCACATGCTACCACTATTTTAAATTAGGGATTAGTCGATTAATAAGTCGACTAAACATAGTAGTTTACTAAACTAATTCAAATTCCTACTTTAAAAATATTAGTTAGCCTACTATATAGTATATTGAAAAAAACTGGTATTTGATACCCAACATATACTTGGCGCCCAAACTGATTTTTCAAAATCCCAAATTTAGAGGTTTTGTCAGCAATTTAATCCAACACTTGTGTAATTTAAATTTATTCAGAATTTGCATGCTTGAAGTTGGGTATTAGTCTTTAATCAAGTGTATGTACAGAAGAATGGAAACATTCAGAAATTTGATTTGATACATTCTTAAACCATATATATATAAGTAATTATAATCTTTTACGATCCGCCACTGCAAACTCAGTAATGAAGTGTTGGCTGCATAATTTTAAATTTTACAACCTATTATTTTTGTTATTTATCGTAGCTCGCCATAATTTGATTAAATTAGGTTGCTTTTTAAAAATTATTTTTATACACGAAATAAAAAGATCCTTTCTAATTTTTCTTTTTTTTCAAAAATGGCGAAAAAATTTTTTTCTCAATTATCCCACGATTTAACGAAATTACTCTCGGATACAAAATTCTGTGACGTAACAATTGTAGTTGGTAAAGCACCTGATACCAAAAGTTTTCGAGCCCACTCATTAATCTTATATTATCGATCTCCTTATTTTCGAAGAGAATTGTCCAATCCAAGTTTTAATAGTGTGTCGAAAAAATTCAAGTTTAACATTTCTGTTGAAGTTTTTGAAACCTTGCTCATGTATGTTAATAAATTTTACAAATATTACGTGATCATAATGGATTTTAACATTATAATTGTATTTAAATAAAAGGTACATTTATAATGGAACTATAATGTTGGAAGACAAAAGTGGTTCTGAAATTTTTCGAATTCTATTAGCCACCGAAAAGCTTGGCCTTTACGAAATTATCATGTATCTTCAACAATTATTAATAGATTCTCATGTTGATTGGTTAAAACGTCATATTGAGACCGTAAATCGTGCTAGTTTTCGAAATGATCATTTTCAGGTCCTTCAACAGTTTTGTACTACGAATGTTCCTGAAAAAGTGTTGAGTGCTATTAATTTTGACTCTATTTCGGAAAATGCTATGATATCTTTACTTAAACGAGACCACTTTGGAATGGATGAAGTTCAAATGTGGGACCATGTATTGTAAAAAATTTCTGGTTTTTTGGTACATCATTTTTTTTTTTGGATGATCCGCCATTCAAACCTTTTTATCATAGGTTCTTAAATGGGGTTTGACACAGAATCCAACGTTATCAACTATGGATCCAACCAAATGGACAGATAATGATTTCAAAGCTTTACAAGCATCGCTCCAACAATTTCTTCCATTAATTGGATTTCATGAAATGACAGAGCAACAATTCTTTGAAAAAGTGAGCCCATTTAGTAAAATATTTGAGCCACGAGCCTTCGAAGAATTAGTTCAGTACTTTATGTTGTCAGACGATGACGTTTCGAGTGTGAATATTTCCGACTTGTCACCTAGTATAAAGTATCCGTCCTTGAACTCGATGGTTACGTATGTTGATTCTTGTATTCTTTCTACAAAACACGCTGCATTGATTGCTATTTGGATCCGACAAGTTGAGCAGACAGTTACACCTAGCAGTCCCATTCATCAAGAAGCTACCAAAATTCCTTACAGTTTTAAATTATTACTTCGTGGATCGCGTGATGGATTTTCGCCATCGACTTTTCACCAACTATGTGATAACAAACCAAATACAGTTGTAATTATGAAAGTTAAAGATACAGAAGAACTAATTGGTGGATACAACCCAATCAGATGGAAATCCACTAAAGGTTGGGGACAAACATCTAGTAGTTTTATTTTTTCATTGGGTGATGCTGATATGAAAAATGCTGTTTTGAGTCGCGTGAAAAGAAGAAATTGCGCATTAAATTATGAGGTATAAAAACTATTCATAACACATCGATATATATACTGTACTTTTTTTTAATTATCTATTGAATATTTGCAGGAATATCTTGGACCGTCATTTGGCTTTGACGATATTACAATCAATGGTGAGAATTATAAAGAAGAGATGAAATGTTATTCAGGAAACTATAGCTACGAAAAACCAATTCGGTCTGAAGGATACTTTTCAGTTGATGAATATGAAATCTTTCAGGTTTCGGAGGTTTGATACTTTGATATTTGCGTTATCTCACATATACCGTAAATATTCAATCAATTATTCATATATAAATATATTAACAGTATATAATATTCATTTTGAAATTTCTCTGCTTCTTAAAATTTTTTTTCATCACTGGAATAACACGCGTATGCCGTGTCTAAAGCTTTTTATTTTTTTGATAAATCTAATAGTTTATAAAATTTATTTGGAACTTTTATGATTTTTAATAAAATATTTTAAAATACTTCAACGTAATGAATATGATTACGGTCAGAATGTTGCATTACAATTTATCTTCTGTTTTACAATCTGAAGATTGTTATATAATCGATGCTTCATGCATTGCTATTATTAGAACTAACCTTTAAATCAAACAATTCTATAAGATCAAATATATTTTTTAAAGATTTAGTAATCAGGAAAGTTAGGATCTATAATACAGTATTTCTACCAATATCAATTTATATTATGCCTACATAGTTCTCAATGTCGTGATCTCACAATTACTAACTACATTTGCAATTTAGTAATCCAATGTATAATTCAGTCTATAATTCAATATATAATTCAATATATAATCGAATTTATACTGGTATATGGAATGTTGATTGGTTCTTTTGGTTCAGTCTAATTGATTCAAAAATAGAACCGAACTCCTTAAAGTTCAGTTCAATCTAGGCTTGAACTTGGTCTGAACCAGGACTCAAAATTTCGGCGTGCCGTAACCTGCTTTTTTTCGGTAAACAAAATAATACAGTATACTTATATTATAAAATTTCTGGCAGCTTTTAAAATTACGCCAGAAATCATCTTAATTAAACGGAACTTCCGACATTTTTAATAGAAATCTGTGCCCTGGTCTGGACAAAGTTCTCGAAGTTCAGTTCTTATCATCAGTTCAACCCAAACTGAACTTGATATGAACTCGGTTCACAAGAGCTGCTTAACGCCACTCAAACATATAATTCAAAATATAATGGTTTAAAACCTACTGTAGACCGATACGTATTAATATTTAATCTGGACTACAAATCTATTGTTATGTACGGAAAAATCTGAAATTAAATTTAGTGGAATTGGAAATTCAATAAAATTTAATCACAGATTTCTCAGCGTAAAATGCCGTAACACAAATAGTAGGCAAAAATTGATTCATGATAACAATCTGAGATCTATTGACGATTTTTGTATCTATCTACGCTGATGTCTTTGAATCGGGACATCATACTGATCTAAAACCTTGAAATATTAATATACGTATTATAATAAAATATAAAATCAACGAGGATGACTTATGCGACGTATTTATGATGAACTCTGAGCGAATCAATTCGATCATATTACGCCAAAAATGATGACAATTTTGATGTAAAACATGCCATAAATTTCTTATATATTGATTTGTTTACTTACAAACTTCAGTTAGCGTTATAACAGTATAAAGCAAGCAGACTTTAAATATCCTTATATTTAAATTTTTTATTTATCATGAAATCCATTCGCAAGAAACAGTCAGTTTCTTACTATTCCGTTGATGTTTCTTGGTGCTTATTAGATGTTACTAAGCCAGCGTCGCTGGTAGCCTGTTGTACAACAAGGCAGGGGTCTTTAATCGTTCAAGATTACCTGAAAAGATTCGGCAATTGTAGCTATATCTTGGAACAAGTATCATCGAACTTTTGCGATATGATGAAAGGTTACATAAAATTCTTTTGTTAAATCTTTTATTTGTTTAACTTTCATATACTAAAGCATCTCTATTTAGATCCTTACGCAAATCATGTTTGTCAATGTTTGATAACACTTTGTAACGATTCTCAACGAGATTTTATACTTAATTTGATTGGCCATAAAGTGCCTCAGCTTGCGCGAGATGCACATGGAAATTATGTATTACAATGCTTAATCAAGAATATTACAACAAAGGGTCAGGTAAAAAAAAAATTCTGATTTTGACATAATGACTGTATTGAGCATAATTTGACATTCCTTTTTTGTATTCAGGCAATCCGCCTTATCTCTTATCTTGCAAAGGACGTTAAAAGCCTCATCGTAGACAGCTATGGTTAGTTCAAGTTCTTTGTGCCTAATCAAATTAAAGATTTACACGAAAACTCATTTTTTACGTAAATTAAGGCAATTTTGTTCTTCAAAAGACTATTGAATTTTGGCCTGCTGAATTAACCCAAGTATTATTAGATCGTTTATATTTAGACTAATTTATTTCGATTAATTTGTTTGTCAATATTGAGTAATTCACCTTTTTTATTAGTTTATATACCATGGAGTTTGCGAAAATATTCTTGATGCAGCTTGTGACATTCATGGCTGCTTTGTTGTAAAGAAATGTTTTGAATATGGAACTTACCTCCAAAAAAGCCTTGTACAATCCGCAATTGCGGCAAATACATTAATTTTAAGCCAGGTATTATTAAAATTTTCTTTTATATTCACAAAATACATGGTTTCTATATTGTTTCCGTTACCTATCATAATTAGAACTTCACTGGTCGCATCGTTTTACAATACGTTCTTAATGTTGGAGAACCTCTTTATTTCGAAGCCATCAAAAAAAAATTACAAGAAACTCGTTTTGAAACTTTTGTTAAAGAACCGGATTACCATATTCAAAAGAGCCGTTAAAAGTTTGCAGTGCACGTGTTCTTGCTTGTCAATTATCATAGTTTTTGAATCGACTGATATGTATCTTTGTTTCTTCTTTCTCTTTCTTTTTTTTTTGTTTGCTTATTTTATTATTTGAATAGGGAACTAAATAAGTACCATGTTCAATGTTGACTTTATAAAATTTTGCTTTATATAGAATACAACATTTTACTTTTTACTTAGATTATTTTTATTTTTTTTTATGTTTGTGTCTGGTGCTTTTTTTTATATATTATACGTATTGTTCAAAATTCTCAAAACTTATAAAATTATAAAACGGTTCTCGGTTTTTTTTTTTTTTGCATTTCCTACATATTTGATGGTCGATAATATTAGCAATGTTTTTACATTGTCGCGGAGAAACGGGATAGAAAAGGCAATTATTTTTCGCAACTTATCGTGAATTAGTTTAAGGAACGCCCGTTTCCACCATGAAAATTTACTATCCCCGTAATTATCATAACAATATGTTGAACTTCTGATTTCTTTGGCATTAATTTCAGAAATTTACTGAATTAATAATATACCTGAATTAATAATATACTAGAGTGCTTTTGTGTACAGCCTATTTTAGATAACAACTATTGTAAAAGATATTCCAAAATTTTGGACAACGTTAATAAAATCACTTTTTTCCTTTCCTGTTCTGCAATATTTAAACCTTTATCTCGACCATTTTTTGCTTGCCATCTTTCAATTATAACAAACTGCTTCTTTGGCAAACCAGAATCAGGTTCTTCCAAATAAAATGCATTGGTTACAGGCGGTAAAATGTAATATAACACGAATTCCAAATATTTCTTGATAAATATATTCCCCCTTATAATCTCATAAATTCATACTTGTCTTAACTAGACCTTCTTTAAGCTTATTATTAAGCCAAATCTCAAAGAACCTTGTAATTTGAACTCATCTTATATATCTATTTATTGCTAAGTTGAATTTTTTTATTTTCTTCCATAAGCGAGCATTTCGGCAACGAGTTGTACTTCTCCGTAACCAAACTTTTTAGAAAACATTCTATTTTTCAAGTGTTCATCCTGTTTAAAAGGTTGGCTAAGCAAACAAAAAATTTAACTGTTGAACATCAAGAAACATACAAACCTCTATAATAACTATAGCAATTCGTCTCTTACTAATCACGAATTTAGGCCTAGCTGTCACAGATTCTCCATCAATATTTAGCTGGCAGAGTGGACAGTAGTTGGGTTTCGAATGTGCAAAATTTAAGGAACCATTGGATTGTATCGCAAAAGAATCTTTCTGATGGTGAAAAGAAAACGGATAAAAATATTTGTTTTTTAATTGAAACCAACATTTTAAAACATCGGTGGCTGAGTCTGAAATTTCTGGTCGATTATTTTTGTACCAACCAAGCTCCATTGCATGTATACCCAATATTCATTCAAGAAAACTTTCAATGAAAAGAAATAATTTATTAAAATTTTCATATTTACTAAAAGGGTTTTATAATTTATTGCACCCCTTCTGTTATTTAAAAATGTCTATAAAACCACTTTTGAAGTACTAATAAAAAATTTTTTTCGTAAAATTTTGATATACCCTATGCCTTTGCCTTATCTCAAACCTTAACATTAACCCTAACCTTAATATTAATAAAATTTCATTTTTTTCTTTGATAAAAATTTTTTGTTACATAAAATTGATGATCTTCATATAATAAAATAGGGGTGCAATATATTGCACCATGTAATAAATTATAAAATCCATACTAAAATATGAAGATATTTTTTTTTAAACAAAAAACACTAATTAATATGCAGAATTGTTTGATTCAAATTTTAATTATTATTACTATTTTTTATTTTCAGGATCTTGAACTTCTAATGAATCTTTTATATTTTTTGAAAGTTTATTACATTTCAACAGGTGCTCTTTTAATTAACTAAGTAAATCAACGGAGTCTGTACCGGATTTCTTTAAAGGAAGCCTTTCACAAGACATAATGGATAAAAATAATTTATTTTAATCATAAAATATTTTTTTATATTGAATTTACGATAGCAATCATTACGTCAAATGTTTTTAGTCATGCAAAAATTCCGAGATTTGTGTAACTAGAGCCTTCGGACTTCGATCGGATGGTTCGGATTCGGACCTCGGATCGGACCTGCGAAGCACTAATATAAGCTAACTAATTGTCCGGAGCGAAGCGGAGGACTCTTAATTCTATACACGTGATATAAAAATTAAATTTTTGGCATTTCTGAAATCTGTGTGACTGACTAGGAAATACAGTCAACTCTTTCTATAACGAACTGATGGTTCTGGAAGAAAAAAAAGGTCATTATAGGAAGTTATTATATTTTCTTAAGGGAAATTGCATTTTCTATACCGAACTATTATAAAAATTTCAAAATTTCAAGTTCACTATATCCAGAGTTCGTTATATAGAGGTTCGTTATTTCTACAAGTGATACGAATCACGTGCCAATAGTAAAAATTTGGTGAGTAAATCTACGGACACCTACCAGATCACGTGAATTTGTACCCACTCTAAGTTAGGGTAGGTAAGTAGGTACAAAAATTACCCGAATTGGTAAGTATTCACGTGAATTGGTAAGTGTCCGCAGACTTACGCTAAAAACACGTGAAATTTTTACCAGCGTTAGGGTTAGGGCTAAAGTTAGTGGTATAGTAAATTTTGGCCAGGAATTTTTTTGTTAGAACGTCAAAAGTGGTTTCTTAGGCAAATTTTCGAGTTACCGGCGATTTTACGTTACACGAAGATCAGTGTTGGCAATTGGACAATTGGACAATCAACTAATGAATATCATTGGTTGGCCCAATTTTTAGAGTTCAATTATCCAATTAATCATATAATACCGATACTATTGGTTAATTTGATTTTCCAATTGTCCAATTGCCAACACTGACGAAGATTGCGCTTGATCTTGAGATCTACATAGAAAATTTTTTGGATTCGTGTCAACGTTACACTGGGGTGTCCAATGTACTATGTAGATCAAACATATGTATAGTCTCATATAAAAATTAATTAATGTGATTTTTTGGTGTAACCTAAGCACGATTTTATATTAAAATATCCAAATTTCATTAGTTTTATTAAAAAATTTTTTTTGATTTTTGCAAATCGCGTTATTTTTTTCAAATTTAAAGTCTTTTAAGTATTCATATGAAATTTCTAGTTAAGTTAATATGTAAAATTTCGAAGAGATGCAATTCAAAATTTCATATGAAACTTAAATTTCAAATCGTATCTCTTCCGAATTTTACAAATTGACTTAACTAGAAATTTCACCCAAATACTCAAAAGACTTTATATTTAAGAAAAATAACGCATTTTTTTTAAAAACAATTTAAATTAAAGATTTATTTAATTTACTAAATCTATAATTTATTTAATGATTTTCACGTGGTTACACAAAGTAGTCACCATTAATATATTTTAAAATTTGATGATTCCGGCTATTTTCTTTAGCGAAATAAATGATACTCAGTATTATTTCTATCGCTCCCTATCAACATATACATGATCGATCAAATTCGACCATACGTTCAGTTATATAATAGGTGGATGTGAATAACTAATTTTTTGGAATAGAGTCATAACTGAAGAACGAATGCTAAAAAATCATTTTAAAAAAAATATGATGATGATTTTAGCAAAGTAAAAAAGATTTATTCCATGAATTGTTTAATCATCTATATTTACCGAATAAAATAAGATTTTTGTATGCCAAAAGGAGGGGGATTACTTATATTTGCATTAGTAAACTTCAGAATCTTCGTCAAAGTTATATATGAACACATGCTAAAATAGAGTTGCTTTTAATCGATTAGGCACCCGCAAAGTTATAGCAAGCTTATTATTTAATAAAGCCAGTTTAGTATTCTTACAAAGGTTATGCTAGTGCTTTTTCTCTTTCAAAACCAGGTTGATTATTACTAAGGTACAAAGAAGTTAGTATGTTTTTACAAAGGGCTTATGCTAATGCCTTTCCTGCTTCAGAACCAAATTGATTATTACCAAGCTCCAAGAAGTCAGTGTAGAATTTTTATTAAGAGCCTTTGATAATAACGTTCCTACCTCGAAATCAAAGAAGTTAGTCTAGAATTCTTAAAAAGAGTAACTAAAGAAGTCAGATAAGTATTTTTGTAATGGATCTTGGCTAATTCTTTCATTCTCTTAAATATTAGTAACTTATTCTTTTTTTTTCGAAATCAGCATATTTTACAGAATGTCCATAGTAAAAACAGAGTCCCCGATTGTGTAGAAAACGAAACCAATTCCAATGAAGTATTTCGCCTCACCAATAATGGTAAGGTATGAATGCACTGTTTGATTAGCATAGATTCTAATTGCTACAATTATCTTTAACAAGTGCACAGATCAGTATACATTCTCGGGTTTTTCATTGTTAGACAATGAAAAGTTTCTAAAAATGTACAAGTCTGGTCACAACGAATTCACGAAACTAATTTTATTAAATTTAGTACTCGCTGGAATAAAAAAAACTAAAATTGTATTGACTTTTGTTGCGCTTTCGTTATTGTTTTAATAAAAAATTTTGTTTGGCTTTTGTCTGGATTTGTTAAAATTAGTTAAAAAATACGTTTTTGTATAATCATCAGTATTTAAAATTTATATATCGAAGCATTAATTTTATTAATAAAAATTTATTACATATAATTAAGCAATTAAAAGTCTGCCTGCATGAAATTCCGTTTGTTAAAAAATTAATAAATAGAATTATAATTCTATCCTTCTTTTTGATTACCTACATAAAAAAATTTACAATGCCAAAATTTTCAAAACAAAAGCGTCATTTAATATACTCGTGATCTCAACAGAAAGACATTACACAAATTGATCACGAATCTCTTATTACGTTTACTAATATTATCAAAAAAACAAGAGAAGAGGAGATGTTTCAAACAATTCGTGAAATGTCAGAACCACAAAAAACCAATGCATTAAAATTATTTGATTCAATGCGATATCCAAGAGGAAAACACGCTAATGAAATCATTTCGCCTTACCTCCAAAAAAAAGCATTGGAATTTATTACGGATCATCAAAAAAACCAGACCAAAAACTTAAAGATCAAGAATGCCGAATTAAAATTAGAAAATAGAAAGCTAATACGAAGCAATCAAAATCTAATACGTAAAATCCAGTCTTTAGGTAGTTCAAATCGACATCTGCAAGACAAAATTAAAAATCGAATTTCAACTATTCGATCCTTGATAAGAAAATCAAAGCAAATATCACGTAACGAATTTAAGCGTCAAATTAGCACGTTATTTCAAACAAATAATCGAGAATACTCGCCCCGAATGGTTTGGCTTTCAACCAAAATATCGCAAATTGGACAAACTTCTTTAACCGCGACAGTTGAATCATTAAGACTGGTCTATGAATTTTTAACTGGAGAGCCCCCGCAAAGATGGTTATCTGTGATGACCCTAAGTACTTGGCATAAAGAAGTTTCGCAAATTGAAACTGAAGCTGGAATATATAAGGCCACCAAATGTTCACACTATGGAATCCTCGTTGATGAATCAACTCGTGGTGAATCTAAATATTTCGTAGTATGTGTTATATTTTGGGATCATGAAAAAAACATACCGTCAGTTATTGTAACAAATCTTGAAGATTTAAATAACTGCACTGGCCAATCAGTAGCAGACAGCACTCTCAAAGCAATTACGAACCATGGCCTTGATCCAAAAAAATGTTTAACATGGGTAACAGACAATACGGCCTATATGTCAGGTAATAGAAAAGGCGCAATTGTTCAGTTTAATAAAAAGGCAAAAGTAGATACAGTAAGAATCGGTTGTGGAATGCATATAATGCATATCGTTTTTTCAAATTTTGAAGAGACGGCATTTGGCAAGCCACCTACCTCAATTGGATTTTCACGAACACCACAACCATATAACCTTCTATACTTAGCTTGGTATCTCCACGACGGATATGACTCAAGTAATAAAGGAAAACCTCTCAACATGAAATCAAGTTGGATTCAAAAGTTATACGATGGATTATTAGGATATCATTTCTCTCAATACCAATTGCCAATTCGAGGTCATTGGGGATACGAATTGCTTGCTGCAAAGCAATATTTAAGCCGTCGTGAAGCACATATCGAATTTGTGAATTGGTTTATTAGGGAACTTGAAAATAACCAGAACACACCAGCTGCATATCTTTCAGATTGGTATGCATAATATTTTTAATTAGATATTTATAAACTTAAATGCTTATTTTAAATAATCTATTAATAAGTTTCCTTATAATCACTAACTAGGCATTTATTTCGGGATTGGCTCTTAAACGAAAAGCTAAATATTCAAATTCAGTGCTTAGTATCATTCGGTGAGCACTTATATGAACCATTGATGAAATTTATGGTCGGAAAGGATCCTATACCTCGTATTCAAGTGGATAATCGTTTGGTTCAACTTCTACCTGGCCGTCGGGCTCACGAAATGCCTGACAAAGTAAATGAGTGGATAAAATTTTTAAATGACCTCAAGGAAAATTTTGACTCATTTTTCGGGCAGGAACTATTAACTGCGCTTGAAACACTAAATAATGAAGACTTTGGTGAGCTCTTTGATAATTTGGAACAAGGAATAAATAGAGCATACGAAAGTTTTTTAAAATGGATGTCTACATGGATCCATTTACCATTATCAATCTGCCGTTTAGGTGGAGATTCTAATCATGAATTCACGCGAGCATTCTATTATGTTACTATGCAACAGTGGCTTTTGGAACCAACAGAATATGAAATAAGCTTAGCACAACAATTATGCGACGATTTTGAGATAACTAGTAATACTTTTGGCCTTCAGGAAAATTTACTAGGTTCTTTAGAATTTAGGGACGAGTTCCAAAAATTTTGTCTTACTCCAAACTCCAAAATCTATGATTATGAATTGTTATATAAATTCGTTAAAGAACGAATTTATTTCATAATAGTTCACCAACAGCAAGTAGAGGGACTTTTTAACAAACTAGACTTAAAAACTCACCCGAATATGACGCAAGACCTGAAGCAATCAAAGCTACAACTTTCGTCAGGTAATATTGATGAAGAAAATATTACTTTAGGACTTTCAAAAGTTCGTATGGACCGTAAAAAGCGATCGGTGGGAATTGTACAAGACAGTGCGAAAACGCATGGGAAAGAAGAAGCGACCAAAATACTTTTAGACTTATTGTCGCATGATTGACCAATATCCATGCACCTGGTTTGATGTGTAATGAGCGAAGTTAGTAATGCTGTAATTTAAATATAACGATAATGTGCGAAAATAATGTAATACTTAGCTTATGTGTACAAATTGAAGAGTAATATGATAATATAAAGGAATTGAACCTGTAATAAAAAAAAAAAATCAATAAAGTATATAAACTGAGCGCTTTGCTAGTGAATCTCTTTAAAAATACATACGTAATAAAAGAATCGTTATCGTTATTATATCAGATAAAAATCAAATCGGTGATCATCTCAAAAAAAAAAAAATTTAATACGTAATTTTTATATAAGACTATACATATATTTGATCTACATAGTACATTGGATACCCCAACGTTACACGGATGTTCATGTATTTTCACATGATAATTGGCCAGTCAAATCATAAGGTTTAAAAAAAATACAAAACGAAGCAAAATTAAAAACCAATAATCAACGTCTAATTCTATATCAAATATATCCAAAACCCGATGTATATACCCATATTATATAGATTATATAGTCTTAATATTCGACATTACATGATCTCGAATACTCGATACTTATGCTATTGTAATAGTTTTATACGTATGCGTTCTTATTTTTATTTTAAGAAATGTACAAAAAAAAAGTATGCAGTTAGTTCTTATTTTATTAATTAATACAAACATAGATTTGCTTTGAACTTTTAAAAGATTTATTTTATAAAGATTTAAATAAAAGATTGTGTAAACCAACAGTCTAACGCATTACCCTTGTTGAATCGTTGCTTTCAACTTTTCTTTGATTTTTATCACTATCATGAATTATGTAATGTGGTTCTATTTTAGGTACATTTCCACCTGATCAACCAACCATAGTTTAAATTAGTTAAAAAACAGCAAATGAGGATACTAAATAACTTTACAGTAATATTGATGAAGCTAGGAATATATATTAGATTTACATTATCAACCCTGGCGACGAAGTCGTCACATATGCAACTTTCAATTTACTGTATAAAGTTTTAAAAACAAATCCCAAGTTTTTTGCACATACTAATAGCATTATGTTGATTTTTCATAGCAGCCATTTTTAAGTACTTGGAACCAATCTCCTGATCTTTTTGTACTCCCTTTCCAATCCAATAAGCATTTCCAACATTATACATAGCCGTAGGATTTCCATTATCAGCAGCTAATTTTAAATATCTCATAGCCTCATCCCAATCAACTGAAACACCATCACCTTGCCATAAACAGAACCCATATCGGAGTTGAGCCTCAACTTTACCACAATCAGCAGTTTCTTTAAACAATTTTGCAGCACGTTGAAGATTTTCTTGACGATTGTCCTTATGTTCAGGAAGGACAGAATGATATAGATAATAACCAACCCAATATTTTGCGTCTATGTCACCTTGTTCAGCGAATTGGTTGAAGCAATCCCATGCTTTTCGTTTATTACCATCGGGTTTTCGATGCTCTTTAATTGCAGCATCTACAGTCATAAAATCATCAATTACGAATTCTGTTCCAAATTCATCCACAGATGGAGGAGGCCTTTTTTCATCTTTGTGATGGTAATCAAAAAGAATTGTAAATATTTTAGAAATTGTTGGACGAAAATCTGGATCGTGACTTAAAGCTTTAAACAAACAAACAAACAAATGAATAAATATTAGTATAATTAAAGATTTATGGGTTTAAAATTTAATTTTAATAAATTTAATAAAAATAATAATACCTGCATATGTAATGTCCCGCCAAACTTTGGGTACATCTGAATAAAATGGTTCACGATATTTCTCTTTTACAACACGGTATCGAATAGTTTGCAAATCTATTCCTTCATTCGTATAAGGTGCTTTTTCTTCAGCAATTTCCCATAAAAGAGCTCCCAAACTAAATATTGATTTAGATTAAATTATAATAATGTAAATTTTATAATATTTTTTTTTAATGCGTTGATAATATATATACCTATAAATTTCACATTTAACAGTATATCGTTTTTTATCACCATTTTCTAATTTCTCGGGAGCCATATATCTTACATTCTCAAAAGTTACTTGAATATTTCTAGTAATATCTCCGAACTTACGACTTAAACCAAAATTAGCAATTTTAGGCTTGTGATTTCCGCTTATTAAAATATTTGCACCTCTAATATCGTGATGTAAGATCTATGGCAATATAACATTAGTTATATAATCATCATTTAATAAAAAAAATAAAGTTTAAAATTGAATAGAAATTTTGTTATACCTCCACAGCATTTAAGAAAGCAATTCCACGACAAATATCAATTGCAAATTCGAATTTTTGAGTCCAACTCAATTTAAATTTTTTATAATATTCCTGTAAAGTACCATTCTCCATCCATTCTGTTACAAAATAATATTGTGAACCATCACTAGACTTTGCGATTCCATAAAACTTAATAATGTGCCCTGAGTTGTTTAATTCTTTAAGAATAGCAACTTGTTGACCAATTTCTTTTTCAGTTTGTTTATCAATTATCGGAGGAATTTCTTTAAATGCATATTCTAAAAGGAACGTATTATTCCATCTACAATGAATAGTTTTACCACGGGGTTCAGACTCATATTTAGGTTCGTAATCGTCTGATTTTAAAAGGTTTGCAGGCTCAATTGTGATTTCAGTGCCTTTACGTTGTTCACGTTGAAAACGGTTGATTAGCTCTCTAATTCTTACGATATCTGTAAAGGTATTGTTACCATCAGACATATCACGCATGAACTATAAATATTCGAATATGATTATTTAGCAATAATTTAATTTATTTCTATGCATAATTTCGGAAAATATACCTTTTTCATTTCTTTCAAATCCTCTAAAAGAAATTTGATTTCATGTTTTAACTCTAAACTATCATTGTTTTGAGTCAAATTAAAATTTTTTGACGGTTCGACATACGGACTTCCGCGATGAATCGCATTTTTATCAGATTGTTGCATCATATAATTTAAATCCCCATCAAACCTATTCGACAAATCCATAAAGTACCCATCAAACCTATTCGACAAATCCATCAAGTACCCATCAAACCTATTCGACAAATCAATATACTTTTGTATAATATTAGCAGAATTAAAGGTAACAAATGAACCGAGTTGAGAAACATCTGTCATAAATGTTCTAATATCAAGCATACAATTTAAAAAATCTTTAATAAGTTGAAGATTAGATGGCTCCACAAAAAATTTCATATTATTTTGCTTTCGAATTTCTAAGTCTTTTATTGCACCCACAGCCAAATTCACTCGCTTAGTCAAAAAATTACATAAACGTCTATTATGTTCTGCTTTTTGGTATATTGTCACAATATCTTCTCCAAGGTTTAAAAATATATCAATTAACGGAGCGAAATGCTCATAATTTGTCGATGCTTCCAGATTTGTTGTCATAAGGTCGACATCAGTACTTTGTTCTGCATAGTTAGTATCTTTAAAATTAATGATTTCAGCCACATCAATATTATCATTTGTAGCGATATCATATGGTTGAATTGTGTTGTCAACTAAAATTATAGTGTCATTCTTATTTTGTTGGTTATGTTTTCTTTTGCTGCTATAAAGTGCACCAAACTCAATATTATTATTTGTAGCGATATCATATGGTTGAGTTGTATTATTAACTAAACTTACAGTGTCATTTTTATTTTGCTGCTTATGACTAACATGTTTTTTTGTCGCTATCACTTTATCAGCTTCCAAAAATTCTTGATATAACTCGGGATTATTTTTCCAATTCATAATAGTATCATAAATTTCTGATGCTGATGGACGTTTTTCTGGATTTCCATTCCAACATTTCTTTAAAAGATCAATGTAACATGACGCTGTGCCTTTAACTATAGGTGGCCTTAGACCTTCAATAATTTCCACAAGTAAGCCTAAATTATTGTAATGTTCCTTCGCAAATTCAGAAAATACAACTTCTCCTGAAGAAATTTCCCACATGATAATTCCAAAGGAATAAACATCCGATGCTTTAGTGAATGGCTTTTCCTGCAAATTTTCTGGCGCAATGTATGGTAGTATGCCACAAGTTTCTTTCGATTCTGTGTTTAATGCTCTATCAACTGAAATTGCGAGCCCTAAATCACTAATATAAGCATTGTTTAAATTATCTTGAAGTATATTATTACTATGTAAGTCACGATGAATAATATCTTGTGAATGAATTAATTGAAGATCAAATGCAATAGAAGATAATAAGTCTAATCTTTTTTTCCATTCCATCTGTGCAATTTCATGGAGGTTCTGACGCAAAGAACCCATTTGTGCATATTGTAAAATTAAAATATAATCATTAGTATCTTTATCTTTCGATATTCCGTGACATCGTAAGAATGTTGGACATTCAGTTCCAATAATATTAAATGCACCTAACTAAGAAATTATATTATTAAAAATTATAATCATAATTTGATGAAATATTAAACCATAAAACTTACTTCTCTTAAAAGGTCCTTACACTTATCTTTTGACTCATGAATTAGTTTAAGTGCAACAGGTTTTATTTCATTATGAGTTTCCCACATCCCGAAGTATACTGTTGCAAAACCACCTCTTCCAATCTTATCCCCTTTTTTTAGCTTATTGAACGGAATCCATGAAAACATCGACTTTACTATAAAATTATCTACATCTAAATTTCCAGAATGATAATCATTATTTCTCAATTTTTGTTGCTCCTCATTATTCTTCTCCTGGCGTTGTAATTCATTAATTTTCGATTTTTGCGACCATTCAACAGCTTTTTTTTGATCTTGGGGTGTTCCAATACCGTTCCGGTAACATAATCCAAGTTGTCTTTGTGCAATGTAATTACCATTTTCTGCAGATTTTAAATACCATTCAAATGCTTTTTTTTCATCTTTTATTACGCCTATTCCATTTTGGTAACAAAATCCAACGTTAATTTGCCCACTAGGGTTATTACCTTCAGCGGATTTCAAATACCACTCAAATGCTTTATTATAATCTTTTACAATTCCGATACCATTTCTATAGCAGTACCCAAGTTTAAATTGTCCCTTATAATTCCCACTATTCGCAGATCTCAAATACCATTCAAACGCCTTATTTTCGTTTTTAATAACACCTATACCATTCTTATAACATCTCCCAAGATTATATTGTCCCCAGGAATTCCGCCCTTCAGAAGATTTTAAATACCATTCAAATGCTTTCCTTTCATCTTTGATAGTACCCATGCTAATTTCATAACATAATCCAATAGCGTTTTGCCCATTAGAATTTCCTCCGGTAGCAGCTTTTAGATACCAATCAAATGCTTTGCTTACATCTTTTTGTATTCCAAAACCATAATGATAACAATATCCTAGGTAAAATTTTGCAATGCAGTTTCCTATATTTGCTGCATTAAAAAATAAAGAATATGCAATTTCTTTATTCGCATTTGTGCCAATCCCACCATAATAAAATCTTCCAAGCAAGCATATATGCTTTGAATTTACTTTGTTATCAGATAACCAAGCAAATACGTTGCTTGGTATTTCGTTATTCTTAACAATGTATTTATTGATCTCCTCGTTTATGTCTCTTTCGCTAAAGCATTCATTGTGCAATTTGGCAAAAATCAAATATGATAAATCTACAATTCTGATCATTTTATTCGTACCATTAAAGTCTTCATTAACTTTTTGCTGATTTGAAAGAGTTTCTATACGACAATTAAGTTATTTTAGTATAATGCAATGATGATAAAGTTCAATTGCACTTATGCATACCTTTAGGAAGAACTATATATTCTTTAAATAAAAATAATTAGAATTTAATTTAGACATCACTTATGTGGTACTATATATAGGATGCATAACAAATTCTGAAAATTTGAAACCCAGACAGTCTATTGCTCACTAAAATTATACCGCATTTGTGCGAGATAGAGCTCCGGGCGTTATTTCGCGCAAGTATGGTAAGCTTTTTTTGTGGTTACCTTTAGGCTTATAAAAGCGTAAGAGATATAGGTAATAGAACTTTGATTATTTCTGTCGGGATTTCTAACCACCAGAATTTTACCTAACATACCATCGGTATTTTGGGTTCCTAAAGAATTATCAGAGTCCTTCTTATCCACTTTTACAAATTCTAAATCAATGGTATCTTGCTCGACTAGTTGGTTATCTTCTAAAGAGAAAAGTGGTTTTTTATATTAATAAAAAATTTTGTAGAATTAATTTAATAATTATTTAAGCGTTGTAGAGTAAAAACCTATAATTGATCACAGTAATTATTATACATATTACAAGTTTTCACTCTGCAGAATTCATGTATAGCATTTATGTTTATCGTTCTTAATGCATCAAAAGTTGCACTAAATTTATAAATTTATATATTACATACTATCATTCTTTGAAGCTTTTATATCATCAAACTCTGTAATATAAGCGGATTGTTTTTTAATAAATATGTCAAATATCTAAACTAGATAGGCTAAAAGCTATGTTACCTTCTTTAGTTTTTAAATAGCCTAATGTTTTATTATAAATAAAGTAAAATGAGATATAATTATTATTGTAATCTTTTTGAAAAATATTGCTAATTCTAATAATGTATTCACCTGATTCCTCGTATCCTAATAAATACAAAAATACATCAGGTTAAATTAAACTGTATTTAATATTAATTATGACCACTTTCAAAAGATGCGAACGATATAATATGATTACCTTTTGTAAAATTTTTTGCTTCTGAAGAATTGGCAAAAAAATAAAGATTCGGCACCCAGTTTTTCGGGCCTGATGAAAATTTTTTTTTCTTTTCTTTCAAATTCTCTAGTTCTGGTGAAAAATTTTCTTGATTATCTTTCAACCAATTTTTTGGGCCTGAAGATAAATATTGGGGGGTAGTTGACAAATATTCTATATTTGAGGACTCGGTTTGAGTACTTATGTTTGACATTACACTATTTATGTTATTATCGGCTTTATTATCAGAAAAGGTTTTTAGCAATGCGTATATTTTTTTATAAATTGTTCTAGCATCAGGTCGATTTTCTGGAATCGCATCCCAACATTGCTTCATCAATGTTTCATATTCAAATGGCATTCCATAAATTATATCTGGCCGAAGTCCATGTATAACAGCATTAGCAAGGAAAATATCATCTTCTTGATCGCAGAATGGAGTAATTCCTGCAGAAATTGTCCACATTATAATTCCTAAGCTATAAATATCTGTGTATGTTGTAGATGGTTTGTTACATAATACTTCAGGTGCAATGTACGGAATGCAGCCATAAACACCTTCTAAAGGTTTATTTATTGGTCCACAAAAACCTAAATCACTAATTCTTATCTTAAAATGTTCTTGAAGTAAAATATTGCCAGGGTGTAAATCTCCATGAACCAATCCTACATTATGTATTTCATGTAAACAAGCTGATATTTTATATATAATTTGATACCGATCCTTCCAAGTAATTGCCGAAATTTTTTTTTTCAAATATTCATGTAAATCGAAGTCCATAGCATCTAAAACTAATACAAAATCCTCGGTAGTTAAATCTTTAGTCAGCCCATAACATCGAACAATATTAGATGCAATCTTGTCAATGGTAAAATGGAAGATAACCTATAATTACAGTATTTTTATAAATAAAATTAAAAATAAATTATTTAGATGCAAAGTTTTACCTCATTAAACCAACGGCTAGTCGATGCATTTGAATTTCTTAATCTTTTGAGAATAACATTATGATTTCCAAGTCTTTCAAGAATTCTTTCTTTTTCGTTCCACTTAACAAAAGGGCCATCTATCCATACAGCATTATAGATATCAGCAAAACTACCCTCAGCTCTGTGTTGTACATTTCTGAGTCTTGCATAAGGAATAAATTCAATTACTAAATCAGGTCCCATTACGCCCCTTTGAGCATCCTGTATTGCCTTATCAATTTCATTGTTTCCAGTCCATTCGCAAAAATTATTTTGCAAGTAATTTCTTATGCAAAACTCACAGTATTGTAAAGCATGAATCCAGTTTTTGCAATCTTCACACTGACGCTTTTCACCTTCATTATTATTGACTTTTAAATTATCAATTTTTTTTTGAATAATATTTAATAAATATTCTTTTTCATGCTCATTAAGATCTTCATTGTTAGAATACTTGGCTTTAAAAAATTCATATTGTTCTTGATTTGTTTTATGAATAGATGTGTCCATTGACCACGCAGTATTGTAATGATATTCTTTTAGCTTCTTTTCATCCAATCTACCGTCACTGACGATACTGATTATATTAAAGTCATTGTATTAGTTATTATAAATAAAAATATTTATTATAACCGCATGATAATTAGCGCTAATGTTTTAATCACCGTGCCGCCGGCAAGTAGATGAGCGACTTTTCGCTCAACACCAGCAGCTGTATGTCTTAGAAGCTTAGTCATGCTGCACAAAAAAGTGTCAGTCCTGTGATCCATAAGTAAGAACGCACCAAATCCGTGGCTTATCATCAATATATATTTAAGATATCATGTCTATTTATACTTATCTTACCGCACTGATTAAAAGATCCGGGTCTAAATCAAAATACTTAACCAGAAAACTTGTAAAATATTAGGGTACACAGTATAGGATCTCTATTGCAAACTAGAAAATTTCGAGTGCATAAATGTTCCTAATTTACAGTATGCTGTTTAAGACATTAAAAAGAGATGCTACGATTAATGGAATTCCTAAGGCATTCGCCCAGTATTTTACATGATAGATATAACAAAAAGGGAATCTTTTAATCAATGAGTACGGAAATCATTAGAATTATTTTGATAATGTGCATCAAATAATCCCTACGTCAGATCAAAATAGTTATAATCCCGCTAGCATGATACTTCCATTACCCTAACGTAGACTTTCACCCTAATCAGTATTTAAATTTTGATATGACACAAACTTTAATTTGACGTATAATAATAATATATTTAAAGAAGTATTTAGGTCCAAATGCTTAGAGACCACAGGAATGTTACTTTTTTTGTGAAATGACCAAGCTTCGTTTTTTAGTCCGTTATCAATATAACACCAAATTTTCTAAAAAATTATACTCACGTTCTGATGATTACATAATTATAAAATAATTAATATGATAAAATCAAAATAAATGTAAATAATTATGAAACTAAGTATAATGTTATCCATACTCGTAAGATCGATTTATAATGAATTTGACGAAGGTCTCTTCTGAAAGCTTTTCAAGTTTGAATAATATTTCATGTAGTGTCGGACGCTGGTCCGGTCTATAAGACCAGCACTTCTCGTAAAGAGTAACATAATCTTGTGGAGTGCTATCAATACTTTTCTCTCTTTTATTTTCTAAAACTTTTTTCAATACAACCAACGAGGGAAGATTATAGAATGGTGGAATTCCACTTGTAAGTTCCCAGAATAATACACCCAAACTATAAATGTCTGACCCTTTATCATTGGTACGCTTGTTTTGAAAGAGATAATATGGATCAACGTATGCTGGCATGCCCATTGCACCTGAGTCTGAACTGGCTGTGTCATTTAATTGTTTTGATATCCCAAAATCTGCAATTAAAGCCTTGCCATCATTTATCAAAATGTTCTTAGAATGCTAGAAATATTTATTGTAAACATTATATAATTCAAAGTTTCATGCAAAAATTAGAACATTTAAAAATAAACCCTACTAGATCTCTATGAATGATATCATTATCATGCAAATATTTCAATCCAATAGTAATTTCCTTCGCTATTCCAGTAAGCTCCGTCCATGAAATTTCATAAAGACCATCTCGTCGTTTTTTAAATAAATAATCGCGTAAGTTGCCATCACTGGCAAGTTGAAATACTAACATAAAGTTTTTTGATAATAGGTCTATGATTTACCGCATTAAGATTAATATTTACGGTATAATTAGAAGCAGATATTCGAATTCGAGTAATTATCATACCTTTTGAACTTCCATAGAATTTCACAATATTAGGATGATTGTCCTTACTCAGCTTATCGAGAAGTTTAATCTAATTATTAATTTATATTTATTAATTTTGCATACTGAGCATTTGATATAAAGAATAACAACGCATTACCTCATTAATGAATATTTTAATTGTCTTGTCTAATATTAGATTATGATTTAGATTTTTCAGAACATAAGCTTTTTCTTGAAAATTTGCTGAGTAAACAGTTGAAGATCCTCCCTTTCCAATGAGCTTTATATTATTAAATAATGAATAATCAAAATTTCTTATACAATTATCATTTAAATATTTCTCTAACTGTTCAAAACATTCAGCCACTAAAAAATATACAGACATTCATTAGGTTAGAATTTGAATTTTTTTTTTTGATATTTTACCTGTTTTTCTCTGATTTTCAGTCAGCTCATTGGTTGCCTGCATCATCTACTCTATCTTTTGAGTTCAACTTTTTCATGTAAATTGTCTCTTACTATATGTGTGAAGAAAGGAAAACTTAAGACGTTAGTGTCACTTGAAATCTGTGCATACTTATTTGTGCGAGTGATACAAACTCTAAAGGAAGCTATCAGTGTTCTGCGTCGTTTCACAACTTAAGTCGATTTTAATTGACTTACGTCATTCTTCAATTTTCACGCAATTCATGATGTTGGTGGCGCAGCAAAAATTCTATAAAGTTCATTTATGTTAGCAAACTTTTGAGAAAAGCGAAGAATTTCAAAATGCTACTAATTAGCCATACCAAAAATTGAAATCGCTCAAAATTTTACTAAGTGATAGAGCCTTTGTGTATTATTCACCACACAAAATTACATTAGGGTGGCTTATTTTATCTTTCTCTAGGTATTAGGTGAAAGCTCTACTAGACCAAATTTCTGCTATTATGATTGTCTTGGAGAATAACTTTGCTTAGAAACAGAAGAAGGTTTACTTAGCACACCTCTTATAACAAAAAAAGGGTGCTTAATTTCGGAATTGTAGTATTTATATTTGATAGTTAAAAGGTTATACTAAGCTACATTACTTATTTTAATATTTAATTAATAATATCAAAATATTTAGATTAATACGTACTAATTTAATGTATAAAGATAAAGACCGTTATACACACCACTACAATTTATATATGGTTAATTTTAGTCAAAATTTATATTAGAATTCTATAAATGCGTAACATTTTCTCGTAAACAACTTCTAAAATATTATGCACAAGGCATTTTGCAATTAAACAAGGTCTTATTACATTAACAACTTCTGGACAAGCCTAATTTAAGATTAGTTATTTCATTCTCTATTATTAATTACATTCACTGATGCAGAGATATAGTCATGTAGGTTTGATTCGAATTTGATAATTCGAATCCATCCTCTAGACACTTGAAGTAGGTGATGGAATTTTTATAAAAAAAAGATATAATACAAGCTGCTAATTTATTTAAAGCTGCTGAAGATAATAACACAGATGCTTGCTTCCGCTATGTGTTCTTGATGACTAATAGGAGTTTAGATATGAAGTTTAATCATAAAAGTTTCACTGAATACATGACAAAAGCAGCTAATGCTGATGATACTATAGCTCAATATAACCTAAGTAATATGTATTTAGAATGGAAATTATGATCTGACTCAAATGCAAATTTAAACGCAGATTTAAGCATTAAATATTTAAAATTAGTAGCACTAAATAACCATTAAAGGCTGAACAAATTCTAAATAAGAGAAGTATAAATATTAATAAGAAAGTAAAATTTTCATTATAAATAATTATCGTTGTAAGATTTAATAGTCTCTATATTAAAATATAAAAAATACATTTATTTTTCTTTTGCAATTACAATACAATTTTTTAAGAATGACTCTAACTAGTTTTATTTAAATAAATAGTTAGTCCAGCGCTAATATTTACAACTTTGATATAATTTATTCTAGGATAGTATAATGTCGATATCAATATTGATATCGATATGTAATTCGGTAAGATTAAAACATTTCTACTTTTTAAGCACGTACTGAATCTGTGACAGGTTATGTTGATTGTAGGCTAGGGATGTTAAGTAGTTTAACCACCTAGTTAAAAACGTGATCTATTCAATAGAACTAGCTAGTTTAACTAGCTAGTCAGTACACTAAAAACCGTGGTTTAATATAAATTCTGACCACAAGTCAGACTATTTAACATCCATATTGTAGCCACAAGATCTCGTGTAACTTGAAAATTTTGTGAAAACAGAAAAATCGCAAATAACACAAATGATAACCACAGTTTGTCTTCAAAATAAAAGTTTTTAGCTCGAAATTTTAGCTGAGAACATTTTTAAATATCGAATAATAAGTAAATTAAGCTAAATTCTGATCTTTGTGCTCTTTCGATTTGATAATCGGCATAGCCTGTCACAGATTCAGTACGTGTCAGTATGTGCACCAGGGCACAAAATTGTGGCATGACGTGTCCTGACTTTTTTCCGTCGATCTTTCTAACAAACGGAAATTGGTATTACCAGCCGGATATAATAAATAAATTAGC